GGACGATAAACCTGGCTATCAGGCTGTGAGGCGGGGAGGCAGACAAGGGCGGGAACGAGGGCAGGGAGGGTCTATGTGAATGAGAGGCCATAGCCTAGAAAATTATTAAATTGTTCCATCTCTGATGAATCACTGGTGGCCCGCTAAATCCGTTTTTGATTTAAGAGAGATCACATGATGCCTGGATGTTTAGAAGCTATCTATCAGACAGGGAGGAACTCTCAGACTTAGATGGCAGGTGCCTGCTATACAAGATAGCCAGGGGCAGATGCTTCTGGATCACCCCATCATGTCCAGCCCTGTGCCCAGGTACCCTGGCAGATGCTGTGGGCAGGGCAGGAGAGGTCCCTTTAGGGCCTCACCCCACGGGCAACTTGGGATAGCCTAGATGGGCTGAGAGCTTGGCCTTCATTGAGGGGGTGGGCATGGCAGAGGGTCAGTGGCTCTAGGGCCCCTGGGAAGGAGGAGGGGCAGGGTGCTGTGGTAGAGGAGGAATATGAGCACCCACACCAGGCATGATGAGCTGGAGGAGGCAGGATCACAGCCCCAGTGTACAGCAGAGAAGGGTGGGTGCAGGGCAGTGCTGGGCACCTGCTGAATGAGAAACTGAGCTCCAGAGGCCCTGGGGGAAAGCTTGGCTCCTTTCAGGTTCCTGTGCTCTGGGCCTGAGCCCCACCTGCTCCTTCATGCTCAGAGGGTGCTGGCCTTGCCTCGCAAGAAGGATAACTTCAGACTGGTGCCCTGTTCCTGCTCTGGCCATGGCCTCCTAAAGGGACAGGTCTGTCTGGGTGGCCAGAAAGCCATGGTCCATAGGTCCTGGATGAAATTCCATGGAGGACTACAGCCGGCACCCTGAGGAGGTTTTCAGACAGAGCTGGGAGTACTGGGGGGTTGAGGGAGATTCTCTGGGAGGGGGCAATTCTGACTTTGACCACCCTCTCTCTGGGTCCCTTAGGGACTGTCCTGTCTTCCCACCCTCCCTTACTGTTCTCTGTTCCAATTTAGGAGAGCTCATCCGAGTTGTTGGTGAGCTGATGGTGACTGGGATGGTCACATAGTCTGTTGTCCAAGTCCCCTCCTACCCCAAACTGCATCTTCCTGGTGGTCTCCTACCGGGAATGAAGTCACTAATTTCCTTGACACAGGAGAAGGTTCATCTTCCTTGGCCCCTCTACCCTGTACTCAGCAGAGGCTTTGAGGTCATGAGAGCTGGGCCACACCCAGGGGTGTCTTCTTTCCACATAGCCCGAGGTCCCAACCCTTAACTAGCACCCAAGGCTCTGTTCAACCCTTGCAGGGCACAGGCTGACATTCTTTCACTGGAGATGGGGCCCAGACCATCCTGGGAACAGCCAACTCCGACTGGGACGTGGGGCTCACTGGGCATGTCAGGAATGAGGCACATCTGGAAAAGCTATTGCCGACGAGACCGTTGCTGCCAGCAGGGTCTTTGAGGCCTCAAGCCCCGCCTGGAGCTCAGGGCAGGGCAGAGGGCATCCGCCTTATTTACCTTGGCTTTGTCCTGTGGGTTCTGTCCAAGGGAAGGACTTAGGAATCAGCAAGGGCCAGGGGACACATTGGAGGAGGAGTTGAGGAGACAGTACCCTGCCTCAGAGCCCGAGCTTCCAGGGCCGGCTGGGACTGCACGGTGGCTCTGGTCACTCTCTCACTCCTCTGTGTGGTAGACCAATGGTGCCTTCCCCACACCACCTCCCACCCCCACCCCAGTTGTGCAGGGAAGGTGAAGCTGCCCCACACCCCCACTCTACCCACCCTAGAGCCTCCTGTGACTTGCGGCCTTGGCCTTGTACTTTGTCCTGGGTCAACAGACGTTGGCAGGATAACCAGTGCCATTAGGGCCCTTCCTCACAGGAGTGGGAGGGGATTAGGTGGTCATGTGTTCTAATCCTGGCTCCATCCTTCCTTGAAAAATCATTTACAGTCACTCACAAGCCTTCCAGGGTCTCAGCAAGGTACTGTTTCCTTTCTTCCTGACTTCTCTCGCTGGCCTGGATTTATGATAGACAAAGGGAAAGGAGGTGGAGAGGTTTGTGGCCTTCCTGAGTCTGAGACTCCAGCCACAAACCTTCCCCATTCCCATCCAAATGATCAAGAAATGCCACAGAGGCCACTTGGCATTCTGGGATGTGGTAAGAAATGAGGTCCACATTAGCATTTCTTCCAATGCCAGCATCCTGATGGTGCCTCCTGGTGTCAGGAGCTATTATGGTGATACTAGGGCAGAGACCAAGGGGAGAGGGCAAAGATGCAGGCGGTGGCAAGAGTTCTACCCTGTGGACTCTCATTTTGTCCTGATATTAGCGGGCACATCAGTGAGATTGGTATAAAACCTGCCTGGACAAAAGTGCTTTGCCTAACCTGTCACTGTGGATTCCCTACTTCTCTGGTGTAAAGCAAGCCCTGCTGGGGAGGTGTGTGTGTGTGTGTGCGTGCACGTGCACACACGTGCACGCATGCCTGCACATGTACACTCACTCTCTCCATGGTCACCAGCTCAGTCAGCCATAGGTCCACCCAGAGCCTATGAGCTCACATGGCAGCTAGAGGAAGCTTTCAGAAAGCAGTGAGGATAAGGAGCTGGCTGGCATGGTCTTTAGCTATCTCCGTATTACCCAGGACAGTGTCTGGTATGTTATCTGTGCTAAGGAAATGCCCGTGGGATGCATTTGTAAGTCCCAGAGACTCTCACCCACATGCACAGGAACACATCCCAAACCTTCAGCTATGTGGCTCTGGACCTGGCCTGTGGAATGTGTCATAGAGTCCTGGGGAACACACAGGTCCATGCAGGCTCATATTCCTGACTGGATGGCTCTACCATTCAGCCACATCAGCTTCTGGGTGCAGGGCTAGCTCTGTGCTCTGCCTCCCTCAAGTCCTCTTGGCTAGGAGCATCAGATCTTAGCCCTACACCAAGCAGAGGAGGGCAGGGACAGCTGTGGGTCCTGTCAAGGGCCAGGAAGCTAAGAGAGAGGAGGAGGCAGTATGTATGTCCCTCAGTGGACATGGTCTGAAGGAGATATCCCAAGAGTCTTGGCCTAAAGGGAAATGGCCCAATTCCAGAAGAGCCTGGCCGTGAGGGGTACTATAGCCCTGCCTGCAGGAGCCTGCCTTAAAGGGGGATCAGGGCTGTCCTCAAAACCTCTGTGTGAGAGAATCCCAGCCCTGCAGAGAGCTGTGGTCAGAAGCCCCTGGAAATGACAAGAGAGCTCCTCTTGCCAGTGGGATCATTGCCAAGACACAGGACCAGGGCCAGGGGGCACTGAGGAACCTCCCAGGGTATGGAATAATGAGTGAGCCAGGGCTGCCCAGAGTAAAAGATATGGAGGAGGTTCCAGGAAGTGACGCAGTGGGCTTGCTCCCTCTCTGAGAGGGTTAATAAGCCTTTGATTACCTCTGGCTGCCCAGGCTGTCTGAACAGACAGAGCCTACCAGCCTCCTCACTGATATCCTGTCTGGGGCTACTTCCTCTAGGTCTTATAGGAACTCAGGTACATGTGGCTGAACATAGCTACCAGCCAGCAACTTGTTCCCAGCAAATACCATGCCAGTCCCTGACAGCTCACCTCAAGTGCCAGAGCTGCAGCTGGGCAGAGGGATGGCCAGTGGGGGCCATTGTCATTCTCTGAAGAAAACCCTGGACAGAAGGCACATGACCCATATGTTCATTCTTCCCTGCCACTGGTGCACCAAAATTGCTCAGAGAAAACCTTCCCCTTACTGGGCCTCAGTTTCCCACCTATAAATGGGTAGAAGCCAATGTGCCTGATTAGGACTATGGTGGGCAGGCAGGAGGTGGGAGTAAAGGGGCCAGAATCATCTCAATCCTTTCCTGATGGCTAAAGAGAGACCCTTCCCTCTGGAGCTGGTTCACCTTCCAACACACTGACTTGCAGCAGCCAAGTGGGCTGGGCTAGGGTTTCCTGAAGTCCAGACTGTTGCTCAGTCTGTTGGCTGCCACTGGGCTTCCAGGCTGGGGATTCAGAGGGTACAAGCTGAACTATGGGGTCTGTAACATGGCCTCTTTTCCTTCTGCTTTTGGGGCTCGTCCGGCCTCTCCCCTGCCTTCCCATTCCTTACTCTCTCCCCATTTTTGTGTTCCCCCATCTTCCTTTGTTTAGTTTGTCTCCTTATCCTTTGTGCTGCCTTTCTCTGTCTCTGAGCCCCAGCCTGTCTCTCTGTCTCTGGCTGGGGAATCTTCCTTTTTCTCTCACTTTACTCTTGCTCAGATTCTATTCCCCGTTGCTCTTTTGTCCTATCTGTCTGCCTCTGTCTCATCTCGTCCCCTAGCCTGTGTCTTTCTCCTTTTCTCTCCTCTCCTTTCTCAATCTCCCCAGTGTCTTGCCAGCTCAATTGCCTATGAGGGGAAAATCCAAAACTGTCCCCATCTCCCACCGTCTGCCCTCAAATCACTGGTTCAAATTGTTCCTTGGTGTGAGGGCTCCCATAGTGTGGGTTTCTCAACAGCCTTATCTGTCTCACTCAGGCCTGCCCTTGACCACAGCATGGGGGTGGGAGTGGACAACTTCTTTGCACCTTCTGATGGCCCCATGACCCCATCAGTGGAGGCCTGGCTGGTGGAGGGCTATCCCTAATGTGAAGCAGCAGCTGTGTGCAAGAGGCCAGACTGCCCCCTAGATCCTGGAGCTGCTGGCTTTAGATTAATATGCTGCTCAGGGTGGGATGGGGATTTGAGGCAAGCAGAATTGAGTGCCCACTTCCAGGGAAGGCAATGTCCACCCCAGTCCAACCTGCCAGCCACACCTCCTTCAGAGCTCTGGGCTCTGCCCTCAGGCACCCCAGAGCTTTCCACACTGGGCGGGGACACCTGGATTTCTCTGGCCCCCTAAGTGGGGCCAGTTTGGAGGAATTTCCCAAAGCCTATTAGAGCAACGGCTGCCTCCTGCCTGCCTCCTCTTGCTGGGCAGAGCTGAGGGCTGAGGGTGGAGGGAGAGAGGGAGGGAGAGTGGAGGAAGAAAAAAAAGTTGGCAGGCCGACAGGAGAGCTGTGTCTGCATCCATCGCTGAGAGAAGGCCCGTGCAGTACGGGGCGGGCCAGGAGCAAGGAGAGGCCTTCCTCCCTTTGTGCTCCCCCCGCCCCCCAGCCCTATAAATAGGCCCAGCCCAGGCTGAGGCTCAGCCCTTGGAGGGAGTTGAGCACCAGGCAGTGAGCAGCCTCCAGCCAAGACCCTGCAAGCATGGCCAGTGAGTTCAAGAAGAAACTCTTCTGGAGGGCTGTGGTGGCCGAGTTCCTGGCCATGACCCTCTTCGTCTTCATCAGCATCGGTTCTGCCCTGGGCTTTAATTACCCATTGGGGGGAAACCAGACAGCGGTTCAGGACAACGTAAAGGTGTCACTGGCATTCGGACTGAGCATTGCCACGCTGGCCCAGAGTGTGGGCCACATCAGCGGTGCCCATCTCAACCCAGCGGTCACTCTGGGGCTATTGCTCAGCTGCCAGATCAGCATCCTTCGGGCAGTCATGTACATTATTGCCCAGTGTGTGGGGGCCATCGTTGCCACCGCCATCCTCTCAGGCATCACCTCCTCCCTGCCCATGAACTCACTCGGCCGCAATGACGTGAGTAGGGTGTCCTAGACTTGGGGCGGGGGGATGGCTTCTGAAATGGTGCAGAGAGGGCACTGGTTCCATCCTCTGCCCATTCTGCAGATAGGGACACTGAGGAACAGAGAGGGTGAGGGGTTGCTGGAGGTCACAGAGTTGGGGCTGGAACTCAGCTATGCTGCAGCCCAGGTCCTGTTTTCTGCCAGGCACTGGGGAATGGGAAAACCAGAGCATAATGATTGTGCCAATGTCCCCTGTGGAGCATCCGTGGTGGGGAATAAGCTCTGGAGGCAACTAACTTTGGGCCAGGAATGCCTCACAGAAACTCTATGGAGTTTCTTGGCCCTCAGCAGCCCTGCCTGGGCTGCCAGCCTCTCCTCTGCAGCCCTGCTCCCTGGCCAAGCTCTACCTGCTGTTGCCAGCCATGCTGCACCAGATGCCCTGCATTTGCAGCCAATTCTGCAAGAGTCTGGGCAGGACTCCCTTGGGGAGCCACCTGGACCCCCAGGTAGTCCCCCATATTCACAAGGGAGTCAGGGAAAGAGCTTCACTCCCTCATCTGCCCTGGAAATGAAAGCTAAGGGAGCAAAACACCTTTCTGCACTGTTGGGGATAGTTTTCCTGGACAACAGTGGAGGTAGAAGGGCCACAGTTCCTGGGCGCTCAGTGGTATAGCACGTGTGTTTGTGTGTGTAGAGGTGGAGGTGTGCACACGTTTGCAAGCGAGCTTGTGTAAACTGTATGCACATTTGTGCTGAGGTGTGAGAGCAAGTGTATAACTACTTATGCCCACTGCTTCTGACTTGAATGTCAAGCAGATGTTGGTGACTGGGTGGCATCTGCTGAAAATAATCGCTGTTTAACACCACTAAGTGGCCATTGGTGGTGGCTGCCTGGGCTTTTCCAGCTCCTTAGCCAAAGAGCAACCCATGTGCACTTGGGGGGCAGTTTGGCTTGAGGCACTGAGTAAGACTGGAGGGTATCATAGAGGTGAACAGGGTTGAGGCATCCTCACTGTTGGCAGAAAGGCCAAGAGGACAGAGGGAGGACTAGAGCTAGAGAAATGAGGCTGGCAGGGCTCAGTCAAGGCAGGTGGGTGTGGAGACAGTAAGAGAACTGACCCAGGCTCTTCAGAAACAGCAGCAGGTGATTACCGTCCTTTTGTTTCCCAGGTAAAGTTCAGCTCCTAGAGATGGCCACCTGGAAGGTGAGGTGAAAGTCTGGCATGTAGGGTAACTAGCTTGGCCCTGTTACAGGGATGAGCATGTCTATGTCACAGTGACACCTCCCTCACCAGCCCTTTTGAGCCCAGGATTGAAGATTAGCTCTGTGGCTGGAGCTTAGACTTTAGTCAGGGGAGACGTGGCTATGTCCCTTCAGACCTCAGTCTCTCCAGTGGAAGCAGAGCTAAGTGACCTCAGAAAATTCCAGTGGGTAGGGTCAAGTTCACACTGGGGCTTGGCTGGGTAGGATGGAGGTGTGGGGAAGGGGCTGAGACTTCCAGGCCTTCTGGCCCCCTCTTGTCCCTCCCAACTTAAGGAACAGGCAGGGCCCAAATACCTGCTTGCAAAGGCTTCGCCCTCTCTAGTGTGGCTGTCCACTGAGGAGGCAGAAAGCAGGGGGGGTGGGCCCTTTTCGTGCCATCTGGATCTGGGAGCCACACCCTGATCTGGCTTCTAACCCCTCTCTGGCCTCCATTTTCCAGAATCGTCCCAATATTTGGGCCAGGCGAGGTATAGATAGAGGAGTAGACTAGTTTGGGGCATCCTTGGGCTGGAAGGCAGGTGCTTGGGTTCAAGTCCTGTCTGCTACTAACTGGTTGAGTTTTCTTGCTGAAGATCCTGAGGCTGAAGAGGGTACCTAGGACTGGTGACATCTCTCAGTTACACCCATACTGACAGCTCACGTTGTTGGCTTGAGCTTATCACTGGTGCCAGGAGGGCTTGGCTAAGAGGAGTCCATGGGGCAGTGCTGAGTATGAGGGGACTAGTCATCATGATGGGGGCTTTGGCACTGCCCCATCCAAGCAAGGGACGTTTGGGGCTCAGGAGGACAAATCTGGGCTTTGAAACAGAGATGTCCCCCTGCTAAAGAACTCCCTTAAGACACTGGCCCTGGGGTATGCAGGGGTCATGGGGAGCTTAGGTGCCTCTAGAGGGACACCAATCAATGCATCTGGTGACAACCTCTTTCCTCCATGTCCCAGAAGAACCTCTTGTAGTCCCTCTGTTCCAGGCCCCACCCTGACCAAAACCTGGGTGGGGTGAGTCGTTGGCATGGAGATTTCCAAAGAAAATAGGAGAAAAAAGTGTCAGGAAGTGGTTGGGGTGAGTCAAGGGGTGTCCCCTGGGAACATCATGGGGACAGCTTTCTTCTGACTAAGTCAAGGATCAGGATACGCCCTAGAGAGACCACAGGCTTCTGTCCAGCCTATAAGGTCCCACTGGATCTAAGAACCAAATTCCAATCTTGGCCATAGGTAAGAATCCCTGAAGCTGGCATGGGGACCTTGGCCTATCTCTGCCCTGCCTCAGCCACCAACATCTTATGTGACTACACACACCTACCAGACTTAGTTTCCATATGTGAATGGGACCCAGAAGGGTATGGCTGGCTTTGGGAAGCAAAGGATGCTGGAGGTCTAGGAGTCCTGGCTTTCACTGGCTGTTTTCATTCTTCTCTCTCTGGCTGGTCTCCTGCACACAGCACTGGGCTGCTGGGCACTGAATGTAGGGCTGGGTCAACTGGGCTCCCTGCCCTGGGAAGCTCACAGGCCTAGATAAGCCCCATGCACAGCTGCCTGTGATAGGAGGTAGGAGGCAAATGTGATAAGAGGTGTCAGGCAGGCCAGGGAACTTTTGAACTGGAAAAAGTGAGAGGCCAGGAGGGCTTTAGGGAAGAAGTGCCATGCAAGCCTGAATACTGAGACCCCCCCACCAAGGCGGGGGAACTTTTTGCAGTGAAACCTGCCTAAACTCAAAGTGAACCTCCCCAAGACACCATGGCCAAATGGGGGCCTGGTGGGAGGTGGGGGATGGGGGCTCAGGATTCCTGCCAGGGTCTGACTGCATCTGGAGAGGTTCTGTTCCCAAAGCCTGTGAGTTTAGCCATCCAGGGGCTCTGGCAGAGGGCAAATCTATTCCCTTGGGGTACTCTCTCAGCCCTGTTGATTCAGGGCCTGAGTGCTTAGAAAATGCTTCCACCTGCTGCATTAGGGGCCTGACTTTGGCTCTGAATGCTTCCTCCCATTGCCTGGGCCTCAGTTTCCCCAGCCATGAGGTGTCAGGCCCCTCCATGCCATCACTTTTCATAGGGTTGTGGCCCCTGTTGCCTTCTCCAGGGCTTAGGGTGGGTTGGGGGAAAGGAAAGCCAAAATTTCCAATGACTCCACTCAACCCAACCTACCCAGAGAGGGATCTGGGGGCTGGGTGGTGATGCATAGCCAGGACATGTAATTACTGTTTCCAGCCGGAACCTGATGACAGGGAGGGCACGGACAGGAGGAGCTTTGTGGTGGAGACTTCCCTCACCACAGAAAATGTCTGAGGCTGTCTCCCCCATAGAGTACTCTGAGCAGCCCAGCTCAGTGTTACCTACCTTATACATGGCCCTAACGGGCTCACCACAGAACCCTCATGCCTGTTGGAATGCTTCATCTGAGGGAAGCCACCACACTCCAGGCCCCAGCTCCCTCTCTCCCCTGACCTTCCTCTACCCAGTCAGGCAGCCCTCTAGCAGCTCATCAAAATCTGATTCCCTGAAGCCCACTTCAGCCTCATCTCTGGTCTATCTGGGGCCTCAGACAGTAGGTAGGCATTCTACCACTTGAGCCACTCCACCAGGTTTCCCCTACCCCCAGAGCAGTGTGTCAAGGATGGCTTGGATTGGATGGGCAGGAAGATGTAGCCCCTGAGGCTCCATGTGTAGTCAGGGCCTCTCCCTGGGGACCACAGGCGCTCTTTGTCCACAGTGGGATGGTGCTCAGGGGGATAGGTGAGGGGCTGTCTTCACTCATCCAAGAAGGTACTGTTCATGAGCACACTCCAAGGCTGAAGCCTATGACTACGAGATAGTGGGAAGGACTGGAAAAGGTCTCCATCCCCATGAGCTGCCCCCCTCAGTATCTAAAGTCCCAGTCAGGACCCCTTCAGAGGCAGGTTTCTGCTAAGTACAAAGAAGTTTTTAAAATTGGGAAGCAACTGCCTCTAAATGAATAAGCTTCAGGGAGTCTCTTCAGGGAGTTTCACAGTGGGTTGTGTCAGGCAGGACCATGCCTCAACCTCCTGTCTCCCAGTCCTCAATTGTTTGTGCTGCTCCAACGTGCACACACTTATACTGAACAAGCATGCATACACTCACACATGGCATGTGTACATGACACACACATGGGGCACAGAGCACATTCTGAAGACTAGCTGCTCCTACTCAAGTCGTCGCGGGAGGGTGTGTGTGTGGGGTCCTCAATGAAGCCTCTTCCTTTCCTTGCCCTGGAGTAAGGAAAAGAAAGAAGGAGGGAAGGAGGAAGCCATTGCTTTGTGTATTGTTTCTTGCTGGAAGATGAAATGGATTCTGGGAGCAAATAAAGGGCCTTTGAGACCTGCAGCCTTCTCACTCAAGGGGGCTCCTTCCCTTCCAGCTTCCCTCCCAGCCTCCCCCTCTTTCCTGCACAGGTAGTGGCACCTGTGTGGATGTGAAATACAGTGACGCACTCAGATGTACCCTCAGACACACCAATGCAAACACATAGCACAACCATCCAGGACTTCGTGCCACATAGAGATCCCTGCCAAACAGAGCTCACCTGGGCAAGAGGTGGTGTCCTGTTTGATGTGTCTTGGGGATGCTTCATAGGCACTTGGTTGTACCTGATTAGTTTGTCTAAGTGTCTCTCACAGGCCTAAGAAGAGTACATATTCTCTAATCTAGGGATGCAGGGTTTTTCCTATTTTCCTTAAAACAAGCTTGTTAATTTTGCAGTTCAATTCTTCCCCATTCATGTTGTTAGCATCTTTTGACAGCTTCATTTTATCAGTGTCTAAGGAAGTACTGCTAACATTTTCACTCTGGGAGTGGATCAAATTCTCCTTGAATTCTGTCTTGTTTTGCATCATTAATTTTTAAGTTAAATTGCTTAGTGCCTACAGGTTGAGGATTTTTATGGTTCTTTGATAGATTTTTCATTTAATTATTCTGTAATAAACCTCTTATGGTCTAACAAAAAAGACATGTATGTGATCACCAATGGATACAGCAGACACTGATCAACAATGCAACATAGGCACACACAAGCACTCACAGAGAGGTGACATGAGAGCCCTTCCCCCATTGCCCAGTGCAGAGACCTGGGAGCACTGGAGTGGGGATGGGAGGGTGGGGCAAGGCAGGCCTCTGTCTCCTATGCCTTGTTCCTCGAGAGTAGATGCTTAGCACCTCAGCCAGGCCTGGCTCAGGAGTTGCTCTGTTGGCCTGCCCACAGGTGACAGGGACAGTTCAGTCCTTTGGCATGATACAGTCAGACCTAGGCCACCCTGGAGCTGCAACAAGCTGGCAGTCACAGAGCCACCTTCTGCCAGCTCCCTAGCCTAAGCTGAGATCAGCCGTGTCCCTTGGTAGCTGGCACACTGGCCTATGATCAAGGGGTGACACACACCCCAGGGCAAGGATCCCGGTCTTGCTGCCTCCTCCTTGGGCCTTTGCCTTCCCTCTGTCCTGTTCTCTTACTGAGTCTCTGCACAGGCTAACTTGTAAGGCCCCCAAACTCTAATAATTGGCCTATCATCCAGCTAGAAAGCCAATACATGGATCCTACATTCGAAGAGCTTCTCTGAAACTGGCTATCTCTAGATAGGGTGAAAGTTCTAGAAAATGACTAGTCTCTGCCATTCTGTACCACATAGTGAACTTCCCCTCCAAGGTTTGGTCAAGGAGCTGAGAGAGTTCCCTGGCCAGGTTGAGATAAGGTACCCAGTGAGGAGGCAGGTGGCTTCTGCTCCTCTAGGATATCCAGAGAAGTAAGTGAGGGTATGACAGTATGAGCCAGAAGGTCATTCTAACTAGTCCCTAGAAGGCTTTGTGGAGCTGCTGGGTCTGAACAGGACCATGAGTAGTGAGCTTACCTGAGTCCAGTGGTCAGGTGGAGAGCATGTAGCTTTCTGGTGCTTCAGAAGAATTGTGTGGGCTATTCTGTTGCTCACACTTGCATTCACAAAACCAATTGCTACTATTTTTACTTTAATTGGTAAAACATAAGACCTGAGCCAGGCAAAAGTATGTGGGAATGAGCAAATGTTAATTTTTTCCATTAACAAGAGACCATAACTGGGATTGGCCCTATTTAAGCAATTATTTCAAATTTAATCACTATATACAGATGCAGTCACATAAGCTTGGAAATACCTGCACTTTCCTACACCAAGCTTCAACAGATGAAGCTTCCCAGTTGTAACAAATGCATCAGGTGGTGGATGAAAGATGGTCTGTAGATGACAAAGCACTTGGGGTAGGCTTACTGCTGTTGCTGCTGCTGCTGGTGGTGGCAGAAGTGGGTTTTCAAAGAGGAAGGTTGCCAGCCTTGTGGCTCTTGGCAGTCAGGAAAGGTACCGTCTGGAGTTGCCAGGCCACATCCAGGACTCAGCACTGGGCTTGAAACTGTGACCTTCTCTGCTCACTTTGCATGGAAAGTGGTACCTTTGGGTAGAGGCAGGTACTCAGTCCTGGTTAAGAACCAGTGGAGAACATGAGCTGGGCCCTGGAAGCAGGGCGAGTGGAGATGGGGGTTCTGCGCTGGAGTCACTTACCGCAATAACTCCATTAATCAACGAAGAAGGGCTGGGTTCAGGACTCCCGCCAGTAAGCAATTAAGCCAACCCTGGAGAGCAGAGGCAAGAGCTGAGGAGCCATGGGCTCCACAGAAGGTGTGGTCTCCCCAGTGTGAGTGTGGACAGCCAGCCCAGCCTTCAAAGCTCCCCACCATCTAGCCATCCCAGCTCCATGCAGGCCTCTGCAACAGCTGCAGTTACCCTAACTTCCGTCTCCACACCCTCGTGCAGACAGGACCCTTCTGCTTGGCCCCAAATTCTTCAAGCAGAAAGAACCAGAACAAGAGCTATAGACACTGCCCTGTCCCTTCTGCTTCTGCAAATCTTCTCTAAGTGCCCAAGACAGCCCTGTTGCCTTTGAACCTTCCAGCTACTCTAGAGAGTGGCCAGGGACCATTAGACCCACTTTGCAAGTGGAGAAACTGAGGCCTAGAGAGATAGTCAGGCCGTGTTCACAGTATTAGCAAGTAGAAAGGGCAGAACCTGAACATAGAGCTTCTGCCTCTGTTGCTAGCCTTGGAATGGAAAGAACTGGTTATTACCCAGAGGGCTAGCTGGCTGGAGGGGATGCAGTTCTGGGGTCAGTTGGGAAAGGGGCCAGAGCCAGGGCTGCAAGGCAGGGGAGGGGATGTGAGTCATTCCCTGTAAGCCAGGGCTGCAGACAAAGGCGGGAAGAGAATTGTTCTAGTGAGATGCCCTCGGGGTGGAGCTAGGAAACTCTTGGAGGAGTGGAGGTGTGCCCCCACCCAGGATTTTGTAGAATGCTGTGTGGCCTTGGAGGCACCCCCATACTCTCAGAATGGAGCTGGGAAGTAAGACTTCCCAGGCAGGGAAGACAGCCACCTGCCTGGGAGAAGGCAGCCCAAATTGGCATATCCTGGTTGATGTGGCCTAACTTCCTTGTGGGGTATACCTGGTCTTGGGCTCCCCACATGGAGCAGGGTGCAGGGCTCCCTGGGGAGGGGTCTTCCTGGTGCAGCTGCAGGGGAGGGACATGCCGGTGACCTCATGGCAACTCTTGACTCTTTTCTTTTTCCATGAGTCATGTTTCTAAAAGTGACCCAGCAGCAGTGGCAGCCAGACTGTAGTGGCGGGACCCATGTGGCCAAACAGAGGGAGGGAAGAGCCAGGGATGGGAGGGAGAGAGGAGAGAGAAGGGGAGAAGGAGGGCAAGATGAAAGGAAACAGGAGAGAGACTCTAGACCAGGGAGAGACACACTGGATGGGGAGGGAGAGATGGAGGGTGGGAACAAGTGAGACAGGCACAAAGGAGTAACAGTAGGGCTGGGACAGCTAACTAAAGAAGACCGTCCCAGCTCTGGGAGTTTCAGATGCAGCAGGGCATGGGGTGGAATGTCTGGACTTTGAGGGGATGAAACAATGTCCCCAGCTGGGTCTTCCTACCCACTAGCTTCTCTTCTCCTGTGTGTGTTCCAAACAATCTCCCTTGGCTGAAGTTTGCCCCTCACCTATGGCCTTGGGGACCCCAGGCTTGGATGTAGATGATGTGGAGGTTCTACCTCACTCCAGACCTCTGTGCTGAGTGGGGGAGGGCCTAGGCAAGTCCTCAGGGCTGAGCTAGAGCATCACCAACTGGTGTGGAAGGGGACAACGACTGATTGCTGTGTATTCCGCATCTGGGGTTGAGTTTGGGGTTGAGTGATGGACTGTGAAGGTAATGAGGGTCTGGCCCAGTACCTGGGCCTGGGAGTTCTGAAGGACACAGTTGCCATCTGCCCTGCTCACCAGGCCTTGTTGCCCCTCTTCCCTACAGCTGGCCCCTGGTGTGAACTCAGGCCAGGGTCTGGGCATCGAAATCATTGGCACCCTGCAGCTGGTGCTGTGTGTGCTGGCTACCACTGACCGGAGGCGCCGCGACCTTGGTGGCTCGGCTCCTCTTGCCATCGGTTTCTCTGTGGCCCTGGGACACCTGCTGGCGGTGAGTGGTGGACTTCTCAGGTTGAGAGCAGTGGAGAGGGCAGGGCCAGGGCAGGGGCTGGTGGGAAGGGCCTGCCATAGGCAACAGGGACTTTGGGTGGAAGTCATGCCAAGGGGTGGGGGATGATAGGTCAGCTCTGGGGTCTGAGAGAAGGGAGGGGAGACAAGGATCTCTAACCATCTTTTTGGGTCCATACCCCTGTTTGTTCTCTCTCTCTCTCTCTCTCTCTCTCTCTCTCTCTCTCTCTCTCTCTCTCTCTCTCTCTCTCCTCTCACCTTTCTCTCTCTCTCTCTCTCTCTCTCTCTCCTCTTCCCCTCTCACCTCTCTCTCTCTTCTGTTACTTCCTCTTCCCCCTGATACCTTCTCACACAACAGATCGACTACACTGGCTGTGGTATTAACCCTGCCAGGTCCTTCGGCTCTGCGGTGCTCACTCACAATTTCAACAACCACTGGGTAAGATACCCAGGGGCCACCCAAGGAGGGTGGGCAGGGGCCTTGACATCACAAGTTTCCACCCATCCTTGCAGTGTCCTTTCCTCTCACAGAGGCTTTGGGAGACATCCTGGACAGAGGAAATTGGGAAACTGAGGCCTGAGATGAAGGGGAGGGTGAGGTGGCATGGGGAACAGATTTAAGTCCCGTCTAACAGCTCAGACCTGCCCACCCCACCTTGCTGTCCACCCCCCAAGTTATGCTTGCTAGTAGGGAGCCTGGCTTTGAATCCTGACTGACACCTTCTGATTCAGCGACTGGGGTAGGCTGCACTTGGGATACTTGTAGCCTTGGTTTCCTGGTCTGGGAAGTGGGCCTATGGTGGCTTGCCCTCCCAGGGTTGCCAGGAGGGGGAAGGACTTGTGGTCTGCAAGGGAGCTCAGCACAGAGGAAGCTCCCTGTGGGTTTTAACTCTAACTATTGCTGGTGTGTGTATGTTCCAGCCAACATTGTACTAGACTGAACTGTCTCTGGGGCTCTTCTTAGGCTACCCTAAGAAAGGAGTCAGTACTAGCCTGCCTGAGCAGAGATCAGGAGATACTCTGCCACATACTCTGGCCTGGGTGGGGGGTACTAGTGTCAGGAAATTGGGGTCCCTCCCTACCTGCTTCTGTCCCACACTCGGATGGAAGAGAACTGTCCAGTGGGGTGGTGGCCAAGGGGGCAGCTCAGGTGGATTTAGTAGGGAGGGGCTTTTTTGGCCAGATGCTCTGAAAGCATATCTGCTCTCTCCTAGATTTTCTGGGTGGGGCCGTTCATCGGGGGTGCCCTGGCAGTGCTGATCTACGACTTCATCCTGGCCCCCCGCAGCAGTGACCTCACAGACCGCATGAAAGTGTGGACCAATGGCCAGGTGGAGGAATATGACCTGGATGCCGATGAGATCAACTCTCGGGTGGAGATGAAGCCCAAATAGAGAGGATCTGGCCTGGGTGTCCATGTAGGGGGTGGGGTGGGGCAGGGATGGGCAGAGGGAGGGGAGGGCTAAAATCCATATTATAGACACTCTGACAAGCTGGCCAAAGTCACTCCCCAAAGATCTGCCAGACCTGTGTGGTCTAGGTCCAGTCTCATTTGGGGACAGTTCTATCTCTTTCTTTCTCTGTTTCCAGCTCGCTCCCTGACATCTCAGAGGAGGTGAAATGGAGGGACCTACCTGCTAGTTGTCCCCTCAGAGTGTGAAGGGAGGTGTGCCAGAAAATCCCTGCTCATCCCAAGGTTGCTCACCACCTCACCTGCCACAGGTGCCTGGGGTTGTGCCATTATTGCTTTGTGCTTTGGAGCATGGCCCCCCTTCTCCTAACAGGCATCTGGCTCCCCAAGGGTGCTTCGAGGGGGAAGAGATCCCAGGAGGTACTGTGGAGTGGGGCAAGTTGCAGACAAGCTTTGCCCTTTCAGATTGTCTTGCTCCTAGCTCCTCCCTTGGACTTGCTGCCTGACCTTGGAATTGTCCTCATCTCAGGGCCTCAGTGACCCCATCTGTAAAGCAGCAGGGAGGGGAAGAGTTATATGGATTCTGTAAGTGAAGACACACCACAGGTTCTAGAAGGTACAGTCCAGACCATCACAACTTTGTCAACCTGCCCTGAGCTCTGTCCCCAAGTATAGCTGTGTGCTTGTGTGCACACATGGATGAGCTTCCAAGCAGAGAGATGGTCCAGGTAGTTGGAAATGCCTGCTCCATGAGGGGCATGTTTTCTGCTGTTGTAGAAGGAAAGCCATTTAGAGGGCATGGAGGAGTATCCATGTACTCTCATGGATTCTAGTTGATGTGCTTTCTGCCTGCCATGACATCAACTTGATCATTACTTCCTCTTGCCAGTTTAGACACTATGTGCATGCGTGTTTATTAAAGAGCACTTGGGTTATCTGAGGTCCTAAGCCTGAGGACAGAATGATCCAGATGTGTAACAGTCTATGGAGGTATATGCCCCTGCTGGGTGCTGAGGGGTTCCCAAGCCCCCAACTGATCCTGAGCAGGGAGGAATGCTGCAGCCCACAAACAGTTCAGAGCACAGAATCTGCTGGGGCTCTCCATCTTTCACTCAGCTCTCTACCTAAGTCCATTCAATCCCACCAGGCCAGAGCAGCTCCATCACTGTGCCCTTAACCATGTTGCTAGTGCAAATGGAGAGACACACTTAGGGAGGCCTTAGAAGCAGGGAGAAAGCCAGAAGGCCTGGGTGGTAACCAGCATTTCATATCTACACACTCTCTTCCATTCCTCAGCAGGAACTCCTTGTTCATTTAACAGATAAGGAAACTGAGGCCCTGGGTCTCACAGCTCGATAAGGATCTGAACAGTCTTAGCAACCATGGGCATGTTTGACTACTCCATGGACCATGAGGTGGACCCCTCTTGTTCCCAGCTTCTCAGTTTCTGCCTGGGCAATGGCCAGGGCCAGGCTATGAAGGGTATGTTGGAGGGACAGGCAAATGACGCCCCTGCCTGGTTCTGGCTACTATACCCAGGGCCCTGGATCTGTCTGCTCTGCATATGTCTCTTTGGAATTGGAATTTCATTATATGTTAAGGAAATAAAGGAAAATGACTTTCAAGGTCATCCAGGTATCCTTCTTTCTTTTGGCATGCATTCCCTCAGGGTTCTTTGGTTTGTGAGGATACAGCCCTACTGCCAAGGACCTAGTCTGGGGACTGGTGCAGCTACACCATGGAACCCTCTTGGAGGGACATGGGCTGTACTCCTTCCTACCCAGTGGGTGACTGTGCAAGCCTGGGAGCAGCTGTGAAGACAGATGTTCTGGTCAATTTAAATGGGGATGGTGGGAGCCATTTCAGATTCTGGAGGGTGGAAGGGGTGGAGAAAGCACAACTGAAGTGGGAGAGCCTGTTAGTTCCCTCCCTGCTCTCCTCTCCAGGGAGCCACAGGTCAACCAGGCCTCTCCTCCAGTCCCTCAACTCATACTCAAGACCCCCTGGCACCTGTACTGCATCCTGGGGCCTGCAGGGGCTGAGGCTCATGGCGGGGGAAGACTGGCTCATCAGAGCCAAGAGACACCAGGACTATGCCTCACCAGGACTTGGACCCAGGTTCTTGACACTCATCCCATATGCACACACTTAGGACTGTTTTCTCTGAACAGAACAATTCCACAGGGGAACCGAGTGTCTGGGAATAGGAAGAGACCATGGCCAGGCTTGTGCCTTCCACTGAGGCCTGGAGTTTGGGAGACTCTGCGAACCATCAACTTCATGGTTACATGGGCAGGTCTACCATGGGTGTGGGCTGAGTGGAAAAGGATGTATGGGAAGGGCCAGGCACCCCAACACTGCTCCTGAGAGACACATGGTACTCTTGGCTCCCTCTGTGGGGGACTTGGCTGATGGTGACATAAGGGGTGGGTCAGGTGAAGAGCCAGGGTCACCCTGTGGGAGTTATTAGTGCTATTGAGCAGGCTTTCCAACTGCAGGGTGCACAGGGCCACTGGGCTGTTCTGCCCATGTGGACTATTACACATGGAAGATGCGTTGATATGAATGGAGAGTGATTATCAGGCTGCAATAATAGTGTAGAGGCTAGCCTATGGCAATCTGGCCGCCTGAGGGTATGCCAAGGCTGTTTCACACAACCCCTCTTAGCTCGTCTCCTTACATTTACCCATTCTCCTAGGCTTGAAACCCCCTCAGCCACCACTGTGGGCCCAGCTACTCCCACGTCAACCTTTCTCATCCACTCCCACCTCAACCCTATTCCACCTCCATTCCATAACACAGCTTTCTTATTGTATTGCATTTAGAAGTTATGACTTCTAGAATCTTAGAACCCAAGAGGCAGGGCCTGAAGAAGAAGCTGGGAACTGAAGCACCTATGAGGTGTGGAGAACCTTCCCGTGACATGACACACATCCCCCCCTAATATTTACAGCAATTTAGGAGGTAGATATTTCCCTGTTTATAGAGGATGCTATATCCCCAAAGATGAAATGATTTGCCCAATGTTGTACAGCAGGTTGGTGACAGAATTAAGATTTGAACCTGCTTTGCCTGGTTTCAAAGATCTGACTTTTTCTACTATTCCGTGCTGGTCTATTTTGTAGTAATCCCCATCCCACCTCACCCCCTCCACTGCTAAGTTAGCTGGGCCAGCAGAGAAGTCATGGTGCACTGTAGTCATATCCATTCTTGCAGAGTGGTAAGGTGAGAGAGGAAGAGAGAAAGGCTGGCTCAGGAGCCTGTAGCATCAGGAGAAACTCACTCTGGGCCTGGCTAGATGTGGTGTTAGCTTGAGACCTAATAGCATACCAGGCTGAGGCTTCTTCCCTGGAAATGACCCTCACCCTGATTGGGAGGAAGACAGCTGATAACTTGCTCCTCTACCAGCATATATGAGAAGGGGGATAATAATGCACTAAGACAGGCTTAGCAGGCTGTGAGTCCTAGACACAATAACTTTGGGGCCAGGCTGTCCCAGACCACTCCTGCAACCCATGGTTTGGTGTTCTAGGCACCTATCTCTCCAGGATCCTACTGACTCTATTCTGCTTAGGCTCTAGCCAAGTCAGCAGTCAGCGTGGAGGAAAGGTTTTAGGGAGTAACTGGAATGGGGTGGGGCTCCTTGTTATGTTTGTCAGATTTTAATGGAGACAGCAAATTTCCTAAAAGTTTCCAGGACTCAACCTTTGTTGCTAGGCTGCTAAGTAGGCAGGCAACGGCCACATGAGAGTGAGATGATTTGGCGGGGGCACTTATTGACCCTTCTGACTGGATCCCTTCTGAGATCAGAACACATGTCTCTGCCTCCATTGGACTCCTCCATGGCCTCCCTGAGTCTCACACTCTGGAATGGCTCAGCCGGCCAGATGGTCATACTTTCTGCACCTGGCCTACAAGGAAGCGGGATGTAATCTAGCAGCCATGGAATCCTAGAATATTTGTCTTTCCATTAAACTCACAAGAGCAAAAAGCTGTGGTTTTACAATTGCCCCTCTGATTCTGAGGCGCCCTTAAGAGCTCTAGTATAGATCAGAAGATTTTCCAAAACTTTTTCATGGAACATCAGTTTGAGCCTTGGACTGCTAGGCATACATATTACCTCAAGCATTGGGTCAATCCAACCTGGGTTCAAAACATTTAGACCCATATTTTCCATTTTGATACTTGATTTTCTCCTCCAAGATCAAGGAGGTTCCTTTTTCCAGGTACTAGAGAGGTGCTGAGAGGTCTTAGGAGAAGGTGACCTGGACTAGAACTAGAATTAAAACAAAGACATGATGAAGCATCTCTGGTTCAGTAGCCCATAACTCTGGTTTGACTCGGGCACCATTACTCATTTCACAGCTCCTTTGGGCTCAAAAAGGGTCAAGGTGGAAGGTATAGACTATAAGTGGCTCAGGCAGCCACGTGCCCCTTGCCCCCAAGGACCATGGTGACTTTGAGGGATTTGATAGAAGCAGAGAGGGAGGTCATTCCCTTTTGGGGGGTCCCAGGCTAGCCCTCAGCATCCTTGCAACCAAAGTCAGGAGCTGGGCTGGAAAAGCACTGGAGCAACTGGTGCCAGGACCCCACCTTTGACAGTCTATGGCAAGCCCACTGGATTTTTCCATCACTCCTGTAAGGCATACCTTCCTTGGGCAGGAGCCTCTCAAGGAAGGGACAGTGATTAATGTTTTATGGACAGGCTGCTGGGCATGATGCCTTGTTTTCTTTAGATTTAGAATACAATGAGGACAATGATTGGAATTTTCTGCTGAGCAGGGGGCCTGGGTGAGGTCATTCTTGGGGGCCAAGGATTCAAAGGTGGGGGTGTTATCTTTTATCCTTAGTGTCAAAGGTCATTCTGAAGGAAAGGAAGGAAGGTGAAGCCCTTGCTTACAGGATCATCTTCATTAGCCTCAAGACACCATCAGCCCCACTCGTACTGAGGGCCTGCCGGACAGAGGGGTGTATAGCAAACCTTGGGCAATTTCAGTGAGCTTGCCCTGCCTAGGAGATTTTGCTTCATTCCCATAAAGCCATATTCTCTGCATGTAGGATTTCACTTGGTTTTTCTCTTCTTTACAGCATATTGATTGGGCAGGGAGTAAGTGAGTGCATGGCTAATACACAGCCATAGGGGCAAGTCAGCCTCACCTGTTCTTAAAGTACTGAAATACTTCTGGGTGGGAGAAAGCATTTAATTCACACAACCAAGCTGTCCATCCAGTAAGGGCCAAGTGCAAGAAATGTGTGTGTACGTGTGTGTGTTGGCAGTAGTAGCAAGTTATACCTGTCACCCCACTTAGATTAATCCTCTGACCTGTCTTAAAATACTTCCAAGTGATTCTCCCTCTTGGGGCAGCCCCAGTATAACTCTGTAGAAGTGCACAGACCTGGGGCTTTGGGAATTCTAGCAGCCTAGTACAGCGCCAAGCCTGCCACACAGTCAGAAGCTGGAGAGATGTCCTTTGCCCACTGTCATTCTGCCCCCCATGGGCATCACACCAGGTATTACACTCAGTTTGCCTATTGCCAGCTGGCTGCTCATGTAGAATATTGGCTTGACAGGCTAAATCGACTTGGGTTTATTAGGGGGAACTGGCACATTTTTTCCAGTAAGCTACCAAGAAAGTGATAATGTTAGACGCACAATTTTGAGAAGAGTGCCATCTCTATCCCTTCTTTCCATGTGGTGACATGGGGGGAGGCAAATGAGTCTAATAAAAACAAAAAGAGCAATTCCAAGGAATTAATAAAGAGAGTTCTCAAGGGTTGGAGTCCACCATTCACAGCAGTCTTCAACATTCTGAAAGTGGCCAATGTATCTCTGATACCTTATTTAACATGAGTTTTATTATTTTTTAAACTTAGCTTATATTTATGATAATACAACTCAAAAAGATATAAGTAACTTATGTCTTCAAGGAACTGTAGTAGAAAACCAAAGCAAATTAAACGTACAAACTTAGACAATTCACTTTAATTACTTGATTTTAAAGTCTACAGCTGAGGGTGGTGCCCAGGCCATGTGAGGTATACATGTGTGTACATGTGTGTGTATGTGCAGGGGTGCAGTTGCACACACGGTGCTCTCAAGCCCACATGTGGTACACCCACAGTGAACCCAAAATGACTGTAGAACAATTGTAGCATTCTTCAATCGTGTGCAGCTCCTTCTTCCAGGAGATGACTTGTCTACCTCACACCTTCCTGGTTTGTTTGAACTCCAAGGATGCCTTCCTTTAGTCTAGCTTGAGCTCTGAAATACCAATAAGGTGAGACCCATCACAGGGTGGCCCCTCATCGCCAAGTGGAGGCAGTTGGAGCCCAGATGTCCAGTTGAGCAAACCAAGTCCCCGGGAGCCTCCTTCATCTGTTTACTTGCCAGGTTAGGTGACAGCACCAGCGCTCCCATCCATCGTCTTGACACATGCAATGTGTAAACTTGGGTCCCCTTCAGCTGACACACGTGTGGAGTTAGCACTGGGAGGTGAGTTCCATGTTGAAGAAGGTGCAGTGTAGACATAGTCCCATGTTCCTGCCAACCCTTGACAGTCGCAGGAGGAGGCAGGTCACAGGGGATGTGGCCCCTTAATTCCACATCAGAAGGCCTGGCATGAGCCAGTTGCCCCACCCACCCACTGCTCTGAAATCAGCATTCATGATGTGGTTTTCTAGTATTCTGTGCTCATTTGTACTTATGGGTCTGAGTGATAGAGAGATGGACACAGAAATTTCTGTCCTTTCTTACACCTGCTCCTTTTCCTTCCTGCCTCACTTTATTCCGTCTCCACTTCTGAAGAGGCATCTCGGTGCCACATCTCCAGG